TAGAAAAAATGAAGAAAATTGAATTATTGAAATTGAAAATATAATAATTAGACCAAAAATATCAAAAAGATGAGTAAATATCTCATATAAGGGTACGAGAAAAAATTAGTGAAATGGGTGATACTACTTAGGAAATTTTCTCCAAGTGACACAGGAATAAACAAAGGATAAAGTTAGATGCTTAATTATTAAAGCTTCTAAAGGTAGAGAATAAAGGAAACATGGAAAAACAATATTTAAATGAATTGATATGCATAGAAAACTTTTTAGCCTTAAAGAAGAGTCCTCATATTTAAAATAAATACCAAAGCCATGCAAAAGAACTAGAAGTAAATTCACATTCTAAACATATTGTAGTAAAACTTCACACCATCAAAGGGTAAACTTCAGTAAAAGAAAAAGTGAATCCAAAAGGGAAAAAAGGAAATGCATGCTTATTGCATAAAACTTTAACATCAGAGAAAAATAGAATAAAATAAGTTATCTATTAGTCATAACATCTGGACATGTTCACATTTTATTTCCTTTCACTTTAAAAATTTATAATTGGTTTTTGCATTTTTGTATGTAATTATAGTAACATTGCATATTAAAATTTGTATACTACTTTTTTAAACTAATATAACAATCATTTTCCTGTTATGCTAGTCTTATAAATATAATTTTTTAAACATTTATAATCTGTCAAATTGCCTTTCTGTACATTGATCTTTAAATGTGACTTACTTTAAACAAGAATAGAAATTTCAAAAATAGTACAAGAAAGTTTGAGATCTCTCTATATATGTATATATCCTATACATTTAATCACTACCACATATTTATTCAGTGCATAAGCACAAGCATGGTAAGTAGCCAATCTTGATTAAAAAAACATCAGTACACTGAAGATAAAAATCCAAAACAAAGAGTAAGCCTGGTTGAAAGTCCTAAAGATAAAGGAAGAAATAATGAAAGTCTAATATTTCCTGCACAATTCTTATTTTTGTATTTTTTTCCTTCAGGTTTATTCACAACAAAAAAAAAAAAAAAAAAAAAGCCCAGGACTAAGAGAAATGCTAGATACCATTTAGTGCATCCCTTCCCTACATCTGACAGATGGATAAACTGTTCTGAGAGTGGGGTAGGCTTAGTGAGATCCTCCGCTTCTATGAGCAGGGTTTTTCCCCAAAGAAAGCTGCCATGGCAGTTGACAGCCCATTGGCTTTGGTACTGGCTCATCTGAGATCAAAGCCCAGCTGTGTCTCTTACCAGCTGTGTGACCTTGGACAGAGGCTCTAACTTTGAAGTGCTTTAGTTTCTTTGTAAATGAAGCAAAGAATATATAACTAATGAGTTTATTGAGAGAATTAAATGTGATAATATACATATAAGTGTTCCTTTGGTCTACTTTCTGAAATAGCTTCCTCCATTCTTCAAATTACTTCTTTAAGATAGAGTACAACAAGTGGAATTATTAGTTCAATTAGTGTAAAAACTTATAGCCCTTGATGTACGTTTCCAAATTGCTTTTTAACAAAATGCTGATTTAACTGCCATCAGTTGCCCCTGAGGTTGGCAGTTTCATCACATTATTGTCAGAACAAGGTGTCAGAATTTAAATGTACTAGTTGATTATTTAAAAGAGAAAAGTATTTTATTACTGCTTAAAGTTACATCACTTTGATTAATGGTGGCAGTGAAGATTTCTCATATATATGTTTCCTGTCTTCTGACTTATCTGTTCATTTATTTAAATTAGTGCATGAGCTTTTTTTTTAAAAAAAATGTATGAAATATATATATATATATATATATATATATATATATATATATATATATATTTTCCATCTGGCGCAGAGACTGTATCATATTTATTTTTTGCAACCCCAACACTATGAACTTGCTCAGAATAATGCTCCCTCAGTACATTTTTTTCAATCCCATCATTTTGAGTATATTCGCAAAGCTGTGTTAATCATCACCACAGTCTAATTGGCAACATTCCAACACCTCCAAAAGAAATTCCATATGCATCAACAGAAATTTCCCACTTCTGCTCCCCTTTCCCACCCTAGCCCCAAGCAAACACTAAGCTACCTTCAGTCTCTGTGGATTTGCCTGTTCTAAGCATTTATCATCAATGTATCCAAACAATGTGGGGTCTTTGATGATTGGATGCTTTTAAGATGCATGGTTTCAAGGGTCATCAATGTTGTAGCATGTCTTAGTACTTCATTGGTTTTTTAATTGCTGTATAACATTCCATTGTACACATATATCACATTTTGTTTTTCCAGTAATCAAATGATAGACATGTTGGTTGTTTCCACCTTTTGTCTATCATGAGTCATGCTGCTTTTGACATTCATGTACAAGTTTTTGTACATAAATTTTCATTTATCTTGTGTATACATCTAAGAATAAAACTTCTGAGTCAAATAGTAAATCTCTTTAGTTTTTTTCCCTTTCTGTTTAGCATTTTGAGGAGCTGCAAACTGTTTTCCAAAATAGTTGCCACATTTTACATTTCCATCAGCACTACATGAGACTTCTAATTTCTTTACATCCTCACCAAAAATCGTTGCAGCATGACTTTTTAATCTTAGTCATCCTAGTGGGTTTGAAGTAGTATTTCATTGTGGTTTTGATTTGCACTTCTCTAAAGACTACGGATACTGAACTTTTCATGTGCTTATTGGCCATTACATATTCTCAATATGTATGTTGAGGAAATTTCTGTTTGAATCACTTGCCTATTTTATAATTACGGTTTTTGTATTTTTATTGTTGAGCCATAGGAGTTCTTTATATATTATGGGTACAATTTTTAAATAAGATATGATTTTCAAATATTTTCTCCCATTTCATGAATTGTTTTTGCATTTTCTTGGTGGTATCCTTTGATGCAAAAATGTTTTTAATTTTGATAAACTTCAAGTAATCTATTATTTTCTTTTGTTGCTTCTGTTTTCGGTACCTAAGAAACCATTGCCTAGCCAAAGGCCACAAAAGATTTACTGCTATTAAATAAGCCTTGTTGTTTATTAGGCATTTAATCAACCAGCTATTGAACCAAACTTGCATTCTTTGAGATGTTTTATAGTTTTAACATTTTTATTTAAGTGTATGATCCATTTTGAGTTAATGTTTGTATGTGATAGAAATTTGATTTCATTCTTTTGCATGTGGACATCAACTTATCCTGGCACCATTTGTTGAAACAGCTATTTTTTTTTTTTTTTTNTTTTGCCTACTGAATTTTTTGTCACCCTTGTCAAGAATCACTTGACCACATGTGAATATTTATTGCTAACTTCTCAATTGTACTTCATTGATCTCTATATCTATCTTTATGCCAGTAATATCCTCTTTTAATGACTGTAGATTTTGAAATCATGAAGTATGAGTATCCCAATTTTTAAATTCTTTTTTAAAGATTGTTTTGGCTATTCTGCATTCCTTACACAAGAACACATGAATTTTATGACTAGTTTTCCATTTTTACAAAAAAAAAAAAAAAGAAGCAGCTGAAATTTGGTAGGATGGCACTGAAACTGCAGATCAACTTTGGGAACAATTGCCATCTTATTGCTATTAAGTCTTCCAATCCATGAACATGAGCTACCTTTCCATTTGCTTATTTATTTATTTATTTCAACTATGTTTTCAGTGCACAGTGTACATGTCTTGTACTTTTTTGTTAATTTTTTTTATTTTATTCTTTTGCAGCTATTATATATTACATTGCTTTCTTAATTTTATTTTCAGAGTGTTCATTGGTAGTGTACAGAAATAAAATTGAATTTTTAATATCTTGTATCCTGCCACATTGCTGAACTTACTTATTTGTTCAAATAATTTTTTTTGTGGATTCCTTATGATCTTCTATATACAAGGTATGTCACCTGCAAATAAAGGTAGTTTTTACTTCTTTCTTCCTAATCTGATTGCCTTTCATGTCTTTTCTTGCATAATTGTTCTGGCTAGAACCTCCAAGAGAATGTTGAGTGAAAATAGTGACCCTCTTCTTATTCCTGATTTTAGGAGGAAAGCATTCAGTTTCTCATCATTAAGTATGAGAAGAGCTATAAGTTCTTTATAAATACCTTTTATCCAGTTAAAAAAATTACCTTCTATTCCTAGTTTGTTGAGTGAATTTATCATAATGTTTTCTTGAATTTTGCCAACTACTTTTTCTGAGTCTACTGAAATGAACATGAAGTGTTTGTTCTTTGTTACTATGGTATATTATACTGATTAATTTTCAGCTATTAAGCTAACCTTGCATGCCTAGTATGTATATGTACTTTAAAAATTTAAATAACACTGTATAAACACCCTTGTGCATATAATATTTTTGGTATTGTGGACTATATCCTTAAGAAAGAGACTCTCAAGTGGAATTCCAGAATCATAATTAATTTATAAATATTTTAAAGCTTTTAATTAATAGAAATATACATTTTCATCAGGATAAATACCAGCAATATTTATACTGTTGCCTCAGGAAGTAACAAGTTTCCCCTTTTTCACACAGGTGCTCAAATATATGTTCATAATATAGGGGTTCTTAAAGTTTTTTGTTTTCATTTTTGTTTTGAGACAGCATCTCATTCTGTCACCCAGGCTGGAGTGCAGTGGCATGATATCAGCTCACCGTAACCTCCATTTCCCAGGCTCCAGTGATTTTCCTGCCTCAGCCTCCTGAGTAGCTGGTATTACAGGTGCGTGCCACTACCTCCTGGCTAGTTTTTGTATTTCTAGTAGAGATGGGGTTTCACCGCATTGGCCAGGCTGGTCTTGATCTCCTGATACCAAATGATCCACCTGCCTCAGCCTCCCAAAGTGTTGTGATTACAGGTGAGAGCCACTGCGCCAAGCCAAAGTTTTTCAAATATAAGCTTTGCTGACCTCTGATCATTGACTTATTTTACACACCTCAAATACTAAGAAGAATTCTGATTTAACAACAGAAAATTCTGGAAGCCAGAAATCACAACTGAAAAAAATTTACTTACAGAATTATTGCTTGGGCATACAGCATGCTTTGGAAGCAGACACAACTATGTTCAAATCTGAATTCTACCACGTGTCAGCCATGAAATCTTCATCAATTTCTGTAACCCAAATAAAACTTTGTTTTATCACCTTCTTGGTGGAAATTGTAACATTTACTTATAGGGTCATTTTAAATGTGTATAGAGCAAAATATGGTGTCAGACGTTAAAATTGTACAACATATGTTAGCTATTTTCATTATTTCTTGTGGTAGTAGCTACATTTTAGCTTGGTAAAATTTTTTTTTAAATTATAATTTTAAGAATAATAGGAAAATGACCACATTTAAATCTTATCTCCCTGACCATAAAAGGCACTGTTAATGCGCAAGAGAATCAGTGCAAAGATTTGATACCCTGGCTCCTCCATTATAAGTTCTCGTTGAATGACAAATCCCTGAGTAGTTTGATAGCAACTTTTCAAATATTTTTGTTCCAATAATGTACATATTTTAGGCAAAAATTTGTGTTAGTAAAAATCAATTTCTTTTTTTTTTTTAATTGTACTTTGGACTCCAGGGTACATGTATACATCCTGCATCCTGCAGGATTGTTGCATAGGTACATACATGTTATATCCATAGCATGTATGGGGTGGTTTGCTGTCTCCAACTCCCCACCCCTCGCCTACATTAGGGATTTCTCCCGGTGTTGTGTTATCCCAGTATTATCCTTTCCCATCTGCCCCCCCGCCCCACTGTCCCTCCTATCCCCTCTCTGCCCCTAGCCCAGTGAGTGTTGCTCTCTTCCCTGTGCCCAAGTATTCTCATTGTTCATCACCTGCCTATGAGTGAAAATATGCAGTGTTTGTTTTTCTGTTCTTGTATCCTTAAAGCACATAGAAACCTTGAGACATTAGTGAAAACAAGCAGTGGAATAGTAATAATAGCATATATGTGTATGTATGAAACTACAGGTATATAAATATTTATAATACTAAACATAATGATATATATACATATATAATTATATTTACTCTTCTTAACAACTCTGTGAGGTATTGGTATAATTTTCATTTTATAAATGAGGAAAGTGTTCAGAAAAGTTGAAGAACTTGCTTAATATCACAGAAAAACTAGGAAGTAGTGCTGGGCTTGTTATTAGATTACCTTTCCCTCAGAGGCCACTATACTACAATATCACTACATAATAATTCTTACCTTAAAATATATGTTTCTTAGCTTCCTGGGAAGAACCAGAGGAAACAATTCTTTGGGAATAGTTGGGACTTCTAGATGACAGCATAAACAAAGAAACACAAGAAAGAAAATAAACTTATTAGCAAAAATCATTGTAATTTAAACTTTTAAAATATTAATCTACTTCATAGCATTAGATAGAATTTTAAACATAAGCAGACAATAGATTTGAACACCTTTAAATTGTCTTTGATGAATGAATGTAGTTACACTTATAGGTAAAGGTAGGCGCTTTCTGCATCGTGGTACTTCATTATGAATATTTAGAGAGCTGGCCAGGGACTTGGAGGGGAACATCCAAAGTATTGATTATTCAGTGTCATTAAATGTTTTGGAACTCTGTCCCTTACATGTTAATATTACCCTTCTGTGGTTTTTAGTAAACAGTATGTCTTAGAAGATCTTTAATCTGGCTAGAATAGTTTATATTAAGTTGTTTAAATAATAAAACAAGCACTGTTGATTGCTTGTGTATGCCAAATGCTTTACTTACATTATCTCATTCATCTTCACAATACTTAGAAGTAAGTACTACTGTCAAGTCATTTTATAAATGCGGCAAAGGAAGGGAGATAATTTGCTAGGAAGCATCAACTAAAATTGACAGAACTTGAAGTTGAGACCAAATTTGTTTTGATGCCAAAGCCCATGTTTTTAACTACTGGTTAATACTACCTTTTGTAAGCACATAACATGACCTCAAGGTATGTATGACCTAATTGTTGCTTTCTCTGTATTTCTTTCAAAAAGCAAAAATTAGGTAGGTGAAGTTAGAATCTTAGAGGAGTCTCCATCTCTGCCAAAAATCTGAACCAATTGAGAAATAAGACAAAATGGCAGGTCAAATAGGGGCAAACTGTCACCTGCATTAATGTAAAGCCAATATTAAAGTAGTAACTTAAATTCATGGGCAAGTGAACTTCCCAGTATTGAATCCTATACAGGGTTGGCTTTGCAGACATGCAATCTGGTGGAATGGGGCCTCATGCTAAGAGTCCCACAGTTGGGATTAAATGTTCCATGGTTACATTGTTAAAATTCTTTCTTTCTTTATTATTATTTTAAAATTTATTTATTATACTTTAAGTTCTGGGGTACATGTGCAGATTGTGCAGGTTTGTTACACAGGCATACACATGCCATGATGGTGCTTTGCTGCATTCATTGCCCCATTATCTATATTAGGTAATTCTCCTAATGCTATCCCTCCCTAATTGCCTTAACCCTTGCTATTCCTCCCCTAGCCCCATTGTGTGATGTTCCCCTCCTTGTGTCTGTGTGTTCTCATTGTTCAACACCCACTTATGAGTGAGAACAAGCGGGGTTTGGTTTTCTGTTCTTGCGTCAGTTTGCTGAGAATAATGGTTTCCGGTTTCATCCACGTGCCAGCAAAGGACATGAACTCATCCTTTTTATGGCTGTGTAGTATTCCATGGTGTATATGTGCCACATTTTCTTTATCCAGTCTGTCATTGATGGGCATTTGGGTTGGTTCCAAGTCTTTGCTATTGTGAACAGTGCCACAATAAACATACGTGTGCATGTATCTTTATAATAGAATGATTTATAATCCTTTGGGTATATACCCAGTAATAAGATTGCTGAGTCAAATGGTATTTCTATTTCTAGATCCTTGAGGAATTGCCACACTGTCTTCCACAATGGTTGAATTAATTTACACTCCCACCAATAGTGTAAAAGTGTTCCTATTTCTCCACATCCTCTCCAGCATCTGTTATCTCCAGATTTTTTAATGATCGCCATTCTCACTGGCATGAGGTGGTATCTCATTGCAGTTTCAATTTGCATTTCTCTAATAATCAGTGATGATGAACATTTATTTCATATGTTTGCTGGATGCATTAATGTCTTAGAGAAGTGTCTGTTCATATCCTTTGCCCACTTTTTGATGGGGTTGTTTGTTTTTTTCTTGTAAATTTGCTTAAGTTCTTTGTAGATTCTGGATATTAGCCCTTTGTCAGATGGGTAGATTGCAAAAATTTTTTTTCCATTCTGTTGATTGCCAGTTTACTCTAATGATTGTTTCTTTTGCTGTGCAGAAGCTCTCAAGTTTAATTAGATCCCACTTGTCTATTTTGGCTTTTGTTGCCATTGCTTTTGGTGTACTCTTCATGAAGTCCTTGCCCATGCCTATGTCCTGGATGGTACTGCCTAGGTTTTCTTCTAGAGTTTTTATGGTGTTAAGTCTCATGTTTAAATCTTTAATTCATCTTGCGTTGATTTTTGTATAAGGTGTAAGGAACGATCCAGTTTCAGCTTTCTACATATGGCTACCCAGTTTTACCAACAACATTTATTAAATAGGGAATCCTTTCCCCATTGCTTGTTTTTGTCAGGTTTGTCAAAGATCAGATGGTTGTAGTTGTGTGGTGTTCTTTCTGAGGTCTCTGTTCTGTTTCATTGGTCTGTATCTCTGTTTTGGTACCAGTATCATGCTGTTTTCATTACAGTAGCCTTGTAATATAGTTTGAAGTCAGGTAGCGCGATGCCTCCAGCTTTGTTTTTTTGGCTTAGGATTTTCTTGGCTATGCAGGCTC